GGCAGGAGAATTGCTTGAACCCGGGAGGCGGAGGTTGCAGTGAGCCAAGATCGTGCCATTGCACTCCAGCCTGGCTGACAGAGCGAGACCCTGTCTTTTTTTAAAAAAAAAAAAAAGAACTGGGCAGGGCACCCCACACCCGCGCAGTTGAGAGCTGAGGCCCCTGGCTGTGGCGCACCAGGCGTGGCGCTGGCCTGGCCCAGCTGTTGGTCGTCTGACAGAGAGGAGCTGTCTCTCCCATGACCCAAGCCGCTGGCAGGGCTGCAGAGAACACACAAGTCCTCAAGACGCGCCGCTTGCTAGGAGCGGGGAGCAGAGTCAGTGTCGGCGCTGGGCGGCCTCCTGACCCACAGGACGGTGAGGAGAGCAGGGGGCGCGGACCACCCTCCCGCCTCACCTCGGGACAGGAAGCGCTGGGTGGCCAAGAGCAGCTGAGGCGAGATTTTTACTTTATATTCATCATCAGACACCTTGAACAAGGAGAACTCCTCCTTCCGCTTGAGAGGGGCCATCAGAGAAGCAGGCTTCCTCCTCACCACAGTGTCTCCTAAGATGGAAGAAGAGGGCGCGCTCAGGCATCAGCCACCTGTCAGTCAACACCACCACACCAAGGGACTGCATCGCCTGCTCCTTCCCACTGAGGCCAGGGGGTCCTCGACGGAGCAGCATCAGAGCCCCAGGGACATGTCTTCAGCACCACTCCCTCCACGGGGCCTGCTCCCACCCAACCACACAGAGCGAGGGGTGGCTCCCTGCCCTGGAGCTGGCTGAAGAGAACGCTGATATGGTAACAAAGCAGCTCCTATAAAATAGCAGGCATCCCTGATAGTGGACTGGATGTGGACTCTATTTTATTTTAATTTAGACCAGATGTAGTCATTCACACCTGTAACCCCAGCACTTCAGGAGGCCGAGGCGGGAGGATCACTTAAGGCCAGAAGTTCACCACCAGCCTGGCAACAGAGAGACCGTGTCTTTACAAAAAATAAAATAATTAGACAGGTGTGGTGGCATGCGCCTGCAGTCCCAACTGCTCAGGAGGCTGCGGTGGGAGGAAAGCTTGAGCCTGGGAAGTTGAGGCTGCAGTGAGCCATGACTGCACCACTGCACTCCAGCCTAGATGACAGAG